CTGGGTGTGTGTGTCAACAACCCACATCTGGTGAGAGGATGACCTTAAGGAGCTCCAAAGGCAGATGCTTCCATTAGAAAAATGTTCCTCCCCACCAGCAGCCACGTTTCCTGGGACAGCCCACTTCAGGTAAAAGCCCTGGGCTGAATGGCAAATGCCATCAGAGAGAAGTGGGCAGGGGTTTTCAGCAGGAGAAGCCCGCATCCCTTTCCACCTCGTGGAGAGGCCAGAGAAGGTTGGCTGGGAAAGCAGGCGGGGGGGGGAGAGACTCAAGAGGACCCCCGAGGGGCCCATCCTCTTACCAGTTCCTTTGGCGTCTGCTGCTTTGTGTGCTGCACCGATGCTCAGCCCTGGGTATTTATCCTGGAGGTGGGTGTGGATTGCTGGAGATAAGTGGAAGCTGTAAACCGGGAATTCACTCCCAAGCGGTGACTATGTGGCACTGAGGAGTTCAAGGATCAAACACGCATCCCCCGGGGAGGGGGGGGAGGCACAATGATCAAGGAGCAACGGGCGGAACAAACACAACACCAGCAACACGGTGGCCCAGCTGGGCAAAGGACCAACCGTCTGACCCAGATGTGCCCTGTGGGCAGAACAGGAATCCTGGGCAGAGCAGGAGGGCTGCCAAGGGGGAGATTGGCAGGCCCCCACTGGGGCCCCAGTGGCTTAAGGACTCTGACCCCTGTGTGTTCCTCAGTGCTGCCTTGGGGAAAACAACCCCCTCCCCACTGCCCCCAAGCCTCTCTGTGTTCCCGGAAGGCCCAGGATTACACCTGTTTGGGGAGGGCTGACGCCGCCGATCGCCTGCTCTGTCTTCAGGAAGAAGCAGCAGGGGAGGCAGCTGGCACAGCTGGGGCCCGTCTCGCCGTGCCAGCCTGGCCCTCCTTGCATTCCGAAACATACTCCATCCTTAAAATCCCCCTCCCTCCCTCCCTCCCTTCCACCAGCAGCAGCTCCAGGAGCATCCAGGGGACCGACGCCAGCACTCCCAGCCCACAGGCAAGGGGCCGGGGCCTCTCCCCCTTCCTCCGCCTGCAGGACAAAAGCAGGCAGGAGCAGGGGAGGGCCCCAAAGGGAAGGCTGCCTCATCTAGAAGCACCCCAGGGATAAAGGGCCTCCCTGACGCGTGCCAAAGAGGGAGGGGGGTCCAGCCAATAGCCTCCCCCCTTCTGGCCAGAGGTAGATGTTTGCAGCCTGCCTCTCCCCAAACAGCAATCCACGAATGAACAGGGTGCTCCCTAGCGAGAAAAAAATCTCTAGCCCTGTGTGGGGCAGGAGCCCACTGGGGGCTCCCCTCGTCCCAGGCAACCTGCCAGGCTGACTCGGAGACCCCGGGAGAGGCTGCAGGGTGAGGGCACAGGGCAAGAGTTCCTCCAGGCTCGGCGAGAGAAGCAGCCACCAAGTGAGCAAACCACGCCACCCGCACCCCAAAGGCCTTGATGGCACCTTCTTCCCTCCTGGGAGGGCTTGCCTTGACGGGGGGACAGGGAGACCAACCCTCCGGCCATTGCTCCAAATCCTACTCCCTGCGGGAAGCTTCCCTCAACAGCTTCCCGCCTGAAGCCCATGCTTCCAAATCCTCTCCTTTCCCTTCCCGCTGGTGACCATTCTCTGGGACCCTTTCCCATTGCCGGAAGCCTCAAAGCCCGGGAGAGGCCGGCAGGGGCCTTCTGCTTCCAAGGTGGCACTCTACCCACGACGGTCCTCCGGCTCTTCCTAGGACGCCATTCCTCTGCTAGGAGATGGCNGCCTTGCCCCCTTCCCTCCCCCCCCCCCCTGCGGCCAGTTCTTAAGAGTGAGCAGGTCTTGCAACAGAGAGGAAGGCCAGGGCCGGGCAGCTCAGAAGGGGGAGGGGCAGCCCCAACCCTGGTCGGTCATGGGAACAGCCGGGAACTGCTTCACTCCTGGGCCAGCACTTTTGGGGCAGGGAAGAGAACGGGAAGGGTCACAGCTTCCCCTGTGTTAGAGATCTTTTATTGTCCTTCTCCAATGGGGAGGCACTGGCGACCTAAGAAATCCACACATGGTCCAGGAGCAGCTCTTTGGAGTCGCCAGGCTGGGCACAGAACAGAAGCCCTGTTTGGGGTCCTTGGTTGGGCTCCACTCGCTGGGTGACATCTTGGCAGTTAAAACACCCACTCCTGTGCAGGATGAGGCACAGGGACCACCGTGGCGGCCAATGCCCAGGGAACCCAAGCGAGGCTAGGCAGACTTTATCCAGAATTCGGTGCCAGCATGAGCCCAGCTCTGCCCTGACCAGGGGGGTGGGGGGGGGTGAGGGCGACTCTTGCTCGGGCCACACCCTGTTCACCACGCTTCCAAGGACTCTGAGCTCCCTTCTCCCTTCCTCCCCGATGACAACAAAGATTCTTTCTTGGGGGCAAAGGCTGCCACAGAAGGCCACGACAGTTCAAAACCTGCAAACGGGGACTATGCCCAACTGACCAGATCTCACCTCGCCTCTGGAAGAAATTGTTCAGGCACATCTCCAAGGAGAGGAAGAGGGAGCACCCAAGGCCTTGTTGCAGTGCACACACACACACATAAACACATATATACCCTCAGCCCTAGAAAGGATAACCTGTGGCGAGGGGAGCTAGGGCTCCACAGCAGCCGGAGGGCCCCACGAGCCTCCTACCTGCTTCCAAAGGTCAAAAGCCACAGGTCTTCTGATGCAGCTGCCAGCAGAGGCAAAACTCTGGTGCCCAAGGCTTCTCCCAGGGAGGCAGCGGGGGGGGGCACCTCCAGAGTCTCCTCTGGCTACCCGCTCAGGGCCATTCTCCTAGGTAGTCACATCTCCCTCCCCAGAATGCCAGTGCCCCCCCTCCCAAGCTTGAGGAGGTAGGGGAGCTGGCAGAGGGAGCAGCTAGCCAGTGTTGGCACCAGCCAGCGAGGAAGCCAGATCCATTCTGGACTTCTGACAGGAAAAAGAGAGAGGAGCCAGAACCACGGCTGAGAGCCAACCATAATCATGGGTTTATTCGTCATGATCCCATGCCCAACTAACTTACTGGTTGCGGAGGGGCAGCCCCAACCCTGGTCGGTCATGGGAACAGCCGGGAACTGCTTCACTCCTGGGCCAGCACTTTTGGGGCAGGGAAGAGAACGGGAAGGGTCACAGCTTCCCCTGTGTTAGAGATCTTTTATTGTCCTTATCCAATGGGGACGCACTGGCGACCTAAGAAATCCACACATGGTCCAGGAGCAGCTCTTCGGAGTCGCCAGGCTGGGCACAGAACAGAAGCCCTGTTTGGGGTCCTTGGTTGGGCTCCACTCGCTGGGTGACATCTTGGCAGTTAAAACACCCACTCCTGTGCAGGATGAGGCACAGGGACCACCGTGGCGGCCAATGCCCAGGGAACCCAAGCGAGGCTAGGCAGACTTTATCCAGAATTCGGTGCCAGCATGAGCCCAGCTCTGCCCTGACCAGGGGGGTGGGGGGGGGTGAGGGCGACTCTTGCTCGGGCCACACCCTGTTCACCACGCTTCCAAGGACTCTGAGCTCCCTTCTCCCTTCCTCCCCGATGACAACAAAGATTCTTTCTTGGGGGCAAAGGCTGCCACAGAAGGCCACGACAGTTCAAAACCTGCAAACGGGGACTATGCCCAACTGACCAGATCTCACCTCGCCTCTGGAAGAAATTGTTCAGGCACATCTCCAAGGAGAGGAAGAGGGAGCACCCAAGGCCTTGTTGCAGTGCACGCACACACACATAAACACATATATACCCTCAGCCCTAGAAAGGATAACCTGTGGCGAGGGGAGCTAGGGCTCCACAGCAGCCGGAGGGCCCCACGAGCCTCCTACCTGCTTCCAAAGGTCAAAAGCCACAGGTCTTCTGATGCAGCTGCCAGCAGAGGCAAAACTCTGGTGCCCAAGGCTTCTCCCAGGGAGGCAGCGGGGGGGGGCACCTCCAGAGTCTCCTCTGGCTACCCGCTCAGGGCCATTCTCCTAGGTAGTCACATCTCCCTCCCCAGAATGCCAGTGCCCCCCCTCCCAAGCTTGAGGAGGTAGGGGAGCTGGCAGAGGGAGCAGCTAGCCAGTGTTGGCACCAGCCAGCGAGGAAGCCAGATCCATTCTGGACTTCTGACAGGAAAAAGAGAGAGGAGCCAGAACCACGGCTGAGAGCCAACCATAATCATGGGTTTATTCGTCATGATCCCATGCCCAACTAACTTACTGGTTGCAGATGACCCAACCTCCCCCCACCCCACCCCCAAAGAAAAGAAAAGAAAAACGGAACTAAGAATTTACTAGAGAGAGATCTGGAGACCTTTTTGTGTGTGGGTTCTTGTTTTAAGTCCAACATAAATGAAAAAAAAAAAAGCTTTGGACATTTCCCAAAACAGAAATAAAAGCAAAGTATATTATACATTCAACATATACTGCGAGTATTGATTACTACAATACAAAGCAATGATTAAAAAACAAACCCACAAAAATAAAAAGTGTGATACTGCAAAATGGCACAGCTAGGCAAGTCCCCAAGCTGCTGGTTTGGAGGGCAGCTGTTGCCATCATCTTCCAGGGTCATGTAAACAGAAGGAGAAACCCACACCCCAGTCCAAAGCCAGGCTGCGTGTGCCTCTGGGTTGCTTCTGGTCTCTCACTGGGATGCGGGAGAGGATGAGGAGGCACCCCTTGTCTTCCCCTCCGTCCACCCCCAGGCCCCTCTTCCAGGCAAGGACGTGGTGGTGGTGGCCCCAGATGGAGATTCAGTCACAATTCAG